TATTGTAAGTAGCTCATTATCACTTCTGGAAATGAAAGGGTTGTCAGTATCTCTTGAGGGCAGAAGGGTTAGTTGTGCAGGTACATTTCCAATTAGGAAATGTCTAATATGAGTCCTTTGATTTGAAATGTGTGGCCACAATTTTGGATTGGAGTGTGATGTAAAGAAGAGAGATGTATTTTTGCCCATATTTACCAAAATAAAACATGGTGGCTGGCCAGATTAAAATATTACATGATTAACATATTACACCAACTTGTGCTCCCCAAAAAGATGCTTGCATTTTAGGCCTTTGGTGATAGCTTTCCAGAATCATTCTATGTGTTTTAATAGATTACATAGAGAAGAACTAAAATCACACTTCTGATCTAGTTTAACAGAGTGAATTAAATGATTGTTGTTGGTACTCATACAATTTTTATATATGAGTATTCCAGTTCTCAACTGGTAAATTTCGTTAACTGGTTCTGGCTTTGTTTTTAAAAAAAAAAAAAAAAACCAGCATTTTGTGAGCTACCAGGTGTGGGAGCCAAGGTTGCAGATTATGTTTGCCTAATGTCATTGGACAAACACGATGCTGTTCCAGTGGACACGTGTGGCAGATAACTGCAAAACACTACATGCCCCAACTTACAAGGACCAAGTCTCTTACTACTAAGGTTTATAGGCAAATTGTTTAGTAGACTAGAGTGTGAATTGTTTGGGGTGAGGAATTCATGAATTTTGTTTGTATTGATCCAGTGGAATGGCTGTATGGGAAAATATTTGATTCCAGGAGTCTTCTGATCCAAAACATATTTAAAAGTTTCTGCAGTTGCAACTAATGATTCATGGTGAGCATGTAAATCAGTTTATGCCACCTTTTTCCTTCCAATGATCATTACAGAGACCTGTTTGGGAAGTATGCTGAATGGGCACAATAGGTAATAGTTTCTGCATTCCTTTTTCTAAAAAATTACAAACAACAATACTGAACAATGGTATAAGTCAAATCTATTCTTTAGGGAATCAAGGTACCTTTGTTAAAAATTAACAAATATCCACTGCAACAATTTCACATTAAAAGCACAGAACACTATTGCACACCTTTGATGCTCTGTATTTGTATGACATTCAACACCAATGAAATGCCCTATTTCTATTCTCTTCAAATAATAAAAATTTCATGTTACAGACTAGCTTTCATCAGTGTAGAGAGTCAAGCAAATAATAGTTTTAATTGGAAACTAAAAAATTCTTTTCTAAATCTCAACATTGAAAAAACCAAAAAATTCCGAACATAAGCCCAAAGCTCCCTCTCATGGAGAAGCTAAATTATGTGTTACGAAATGAGTTTCTCTCTGCATAACTAGAACAGTTTAAAGACCCTAAAAAAGACTGAAACAGCTAGCCCCCAACAATCCATGGACTTGGATTGTGAAGATTTGTTCCTGGACGGGCACATAGTCTGAGTTTTACAAAGGGAGAGCTGCTAAGCTACATTACCTTACTGTAATTTTTCAATAAGATTTTTTCTAATAATAATTAAAATTAATATTTATATGGCAGTGATTTCATTTTAATATGATCAAGAATACTATCTAATAATAGGAAACTTTAAAAAGATAAAAATAGGGACTGAATAAACCCTAAATAAAGCTAAAATCAATCTTTCTATGGTAATAATGCTAAAAAAACATGCCAAGATCTAACAATGTGAAGAATTTTAAGAAAGTAAGCCCAAAAAGGTAAATGTTGCAATAAACATTTAAACTAAAAAAAACATGACCGCACATAGCACTGGACATAGTTCTCTACAATAACTCAAATTCTAGTGAATTGAAATTAAAACTACAGTAGGCTGACAAAAAGAAGTAAAAATCTTCTTAAACACTAAAACTTGGACCTTGCTTAATTCATTAAACACTTAAACAAATAATTAACATCCATTCCAGTCTGAAAGATGTATACTAGTACCAATACACATTGCTACCTTACTAAAAGATCTCAATGTTATTTCTACAGGCTTTTTTTCTCTTTCTTTCCTTCTTTCTTTCTTTTTTTTCTGTTCTTTCTTAACATAAGTGGTATACACTTTTTGAAAAGTCTACAATCCCTAATAATACATCAGTTTTAAAAAAATGCATTTCCATAGTAAGAAAAAAATTGATCTCTACCTCAGTTTAAAATTCTCGTTATTTCTGTATATTGTACACACCCTACAAAGTAAGATAGACTATAATTTATATTAAAAATACTTCACTGAATGCCACCTGGTATTTACTGCATGTGCACGACAGTGATAACAAGCACGGTGCTGTTCAGTTACCAAGGTTACCTTTATAGCCCTTGAGATGTTCTCACAGGGTGTGTTTTTTGCTAGGATAATAATAAACTACTTGACTTTCTGGGAGATTTTCCCACCGCCTTCAACTATGATGAGCTTCATACTTTGTCATTTACAAATGTCAAAAAAAAAAAAAAAAAACCCAAACAAACACAAAAGACTTGAAAACCTAACGCTTAGAAGAAGGCCCTCTACGCACCTCATTATGTAAGGCACCATGAACTATGTAAAAGGCCCTCTACGCACCTCATTATGTAAGGCACTGTGAACTATGTTCTGTAAA